CGGCATTCCGCGGGAGGTGCGCGCGAGGCAGGACATCGGCGTGCGGCGGGTGCCAGGAACACCTCGTCGGCGCGCCGAGGAATTGCGGGTGTCAGGAGCAGGACTGGAGTGCATGCGCCGCATCCAGATGGCCGCGCTGTGGCGAGAATTCCACGCGTGGAAGCTCTCGGCATACCCGTATGCCTCGGCGGTGGAGTTGTACGGCCAGGCGTGCGATGCGGCAGGCGTCCCGCCCTGGCCGCCGTGCGCCATCGCGCGGGACATGATGGTGGCGCTCTGTCGCCGCCCGGGGACCCTGTCGAACTATTTGCAGGGCATTCGCTCAGTCCTGCATCTGCTCCGCGCAGACACAGGGTCTTTGGCGGACACGCGGACCCTGGTATTCGGTGCCCGAAAGGTACGGCCGCCGCGCGCGTCGGCCGCGAGCCCATGATATCGGCGGCAGGCGGAACCGCCTGGTGCGCAAAGATTTCGTGCGCGCGCCACGGCCGAAAACGTGCGCGCGATGTCGGATTGGCTGCGCGAGGCGCGGCCGCGCGCTCTTCGAACTAAGCGGCCTGCCGTGCGTGCCGGCCCGCGGGCCTGGCGCTTGGCAGATCGGACGCGGCGATATGGCCGACGCTTTCGTCATATGCTGGCAGTTCTGCTTGCGCTTCGGCTCCGAAGTAGTGGGGCTGAATGCGCCTGGGCATAGTGCCGCCTCGCTCCACGTAGACGAAGGAAAGCACCAGGTGCAGGTGCAATTCCGCCAGCGGAAGGGGAGAGTGGCTCCCGACCCGGCGGGCCGAGCGCGCGCGCGCGGCGGGGCGCGCCCCGGGCTCCCCGCATCGCGAGGTCTGGAGGGTATGCGTATGCCAGCTCCAGGGCAAACGATTGTGCGCGGTCTGCATCATTCGGCATTCGCTCCGGCCCGGCGAGCAGCTCCTGCCGGGCGTCTCTTACGTGGACGGGCTGGCTTGCGTCAAGCTCGCCGCTGCCCACCTCGGGCTCCATAGGGCATTGGAGTGGGGGACGCATTGCTTCAGGCGCGGCCGGGCCGACCAGGCATGGGCTCCCCTTGCCGTCCCCTGCCTACCCAGGGCCCGCGCGCAGTTCGTGTCTCTCGCACACAGGCACTCCGCACCGGGGGGCCAGCAGCGCTGTTCTTCGAAGGGGGTTGGAGATCTGTGGCCGCGTTCGGGCACTCCATTCCGACAGGGGGCACGGCCGCGCTGCCTGGGTCGCGAGGGCGCGGCGCTTGGCGGCGCACAGGTACCCGGCCGCAAAGACGCGAGCCATGGTGCTGGCGGCAGAAGCCGAGATCGCGCACTCCGATTCCGACGAGGCGCCGCCCTGCAGGCATCGGGGTCGGGGCTCCGCGGCGGCGCGTGGCGCGCAGGACGCGCCGATCGCCGCGGAAGCGGTGCAGGGGCCGCCCAGGCCGTGAGTCAAGCAGACCAGGCATCTGCGGTCTGCTTAGAGCGCGCTTGGGCGTCGTTCCGCCGAGCATGCATCGGGAGGCGTCGGCGAGGTTGCTCGGCTCCGCGACGCCGACTCGCGCTCACCCCACCGCCTGGCCTGGGCCTGCGCCAGTCGACGGTTGTGCCCTGCGTTAGCGCGGGCCCAGCCTCGACGCGACTTCTCATGGGCGCTCTGGGCAGCATTTGAGCGCGGGGAGAAGTCGCGCGAGCGTCGTGGCCCCTATTGGCTATCTTCTTGCTTGTCTCTAATGCTGCGGGACGGCTATTCACGGCTGAGGCGGATCCCCACCCTGCGCGCCCGCGAGCGCGTTCTCGTCGCAGGTGAATGGGATTTGTCTCACGCGTGGCCGTCCCGCTGGCGGGATGCGTTTTTCCCCGCCCGCCCGACCCTGCTGCGCGAGCGCACTGGCGTCGCAGTGGCTGCTAGTTGTGTCGAGGCTGGGCTGACCCAGCGCCAGACATGGGGGAGGCGTCGGCGAGGTTACTCGGCTCCGCGACGCCGACTCGCGCTCACCCCACCGCCTGGCCTGGGCCTGCGCCAGTCGACGGTTGTGCCCTGCGTTAGCGCGGGCCCGGCCTCGACGCGACTTCTCCAGTTACTGGAGATCTTAGCACGCCTCTGGCCCGTTGGGCCGGCGAATTTGTGTGTCCCACGGCCCCTTCAAAGGAGCAATACTAGGAACGGCCCCCAACGTCCCCTCCCCCACAGCCCCCCCTCAGCGACAGAGGCCCTGCCCCGCCCCCCAGACCCTGGGAGGCCCCACACCACGGCCAGGAAGACAGGATGCCTGGCCCTCAGGGCCCCCCCAGGTCCTCCTCCTCTCCTCCTCCTCCTCCTCCTCCTCCTCCTCCTCCTCCTCCTCCTCCTCCTCCTCCTCCTCCTCCTCCTCCTCCTCAGCCCACCGACCTTAGCGACGACTGGCTCATGGACCGCGTCATCAGGCAGCCAGACGTGGCCCAGAGGGACGATGAGGCCGCGGGTATCCAGCCGCCCCCCCCCGCCCGCGGACCGGAGCTCCATCGACGGAGACGCCGCCCAGCGCGCTGTCAGGCGACTGCGGTGCGATGATTATCCCCCAGAGAGAGCGCACGAA